GCAAAATTCTGAAGCAAAATGAACTGGTTATTGCATCTAGAATTGGGGTAACCGAGTGTGGTTAACCAACCTCCCAAGAGGTCTTGCCACAGGATTCAAGACACTCAGTGCCATCAATGATAAACGAAGCAAACTGACTGGCACCACATCCACCACCTCAAACAACCACTCCCTCTACCATGGTACACAGTGGCAGTGTGCCATCCACAAAGATGTCATGGCCTGCTACATTTTGCCAAAGGTCCTGCCACAGCATCTCCCAAGGTGATCCCTGACCTCCATTACCTAGAAAGATAAGGGAAGCAAATGTAAAGGAACACCACCACCAGCAAATTGCACACTATCCTGACTCAGAAATATATTGGCCTTACATTTATCATCACTGGGTCAATATCCTAGAACTCCTTTCCTCACAGCACTGTGGGTACATTTTCACCACATTGTCTGCAGTCGTTCAAAGCAAGAGCTCATCACTATCCTCTCCAGGGTCGCATGGTGGCTCAGCGGTTAAGCACTGCTGCCTCACAGCACCAGGGACCTGGGTTTGATTCCATGCTCGGGTGACTGCCTGAGTGGAGTTTGCACATTCTCCCCGTGTATGCGTGGGTTCCTCCGTTTCCTCCCACAGTCCAAAGATGTGCAAGTTAGGTGAATTGGCCAGGCTAAATGTAGGGTTTCAGGGGTAGGGTAGGGTGGTGGGTCTGGGTGGGATGATCTTCAAAGGATCGGTGTCGACTCGATGGGCTGAATGGCCTGCTTCCACACTGTAGGGATTCAATGAATTAGGGATAATGCTAGTCTACCCATTGATAACTACATCTTAGGAACATATTATTTTAAAAATAGTCCTGATGCTAGTGCTTTTACTTAAACTACGGCTCCAAAGTCCAATTAAAAAGCAAGGTGGGCTAAGTGGAGTCTTCACAGCTTAGTACTTCACTCACACTGTAGACACAACTGTCAGATTCTGCAATCTATGCACACACCCTGATCAACAAGAAACATGGCATTACAGAAGCGAACCACACTGTAGCCGGTCACCCACTAAATTATAACAGGCTTAACATAAATCCCTGGGAATAACACCAGTCCATGGAGTCAGTCTCCCCACCATCCTGCAAAAATGCAGCTCCACTTGTCGGCTATTTAGTCAGTAAGAACACCAAGGCAAATCTAACAGTTTTACTTTTAACCTATGCAACACTCCTAATGAGCATATTCACTGGCACAGCAGTTAGCTCAGTTGACTGGATGGCTGGTTTGCAATGCAAAATAATGCCAACAGCGTAGGTTCAACTCCCACACCAGCTGAGGTTACCATGAAGGACTCTCCTTCTCAACCTCTCCCCTTGCCTGAGGTGTGGTGACCTTCAGGTTAAACCACCACCAATCGTCTCTATCTGATGAGACAGCAGCCCTATGGTCTGTTAAGACTATGGCAACTTTACTTTTATACCAACATCACTGCTAGAGTTTTTAGATAGTCATCATTTGTTATTGTGATATTAGTTTTCTGAACTCCAAGACACAGAAATTAAACTGTATTTACCAGCAGTTTAAGAATTAAAGGCAATCTGCAGGTGACTAATATACATTAACACATCACCATCAAACACTGTCAGTGTCAACGACAACTCTGTCAGTGTGGCCAAACATTGGATAACACATCATGTTATTCAGCAACACCAAAGCAACACATTACAGATGCCAGAAATTAAAAAGAAAAACAAGAATACTAGAAATATTCAGCTGGTCAGGCAGCATCTGCAGAGACAGAAAACAAGAGTGAACACTGTTCAGGTCTGTGAACTTCCATGAGGAAGCAAGTTCTGATGAAAGACCATCAATAGGAACCATTAATTCAACTTCACTACTTAGAGATGCGGCCAGAGCTGAGTATATCCAGCATTTTCTGCTTTTGTTTTAATCTATTCATCATCTGTTTCCTCTGGCAAGCTGGAATAAGGGCCAGGGCATGACTAATGTGAATAATGGAGCACATCCAATGCTGCGGCCATAAAGCTCCTGTTAGGTTTATCCCTTCATCGTCTTTTTACCTCGGTCTTCGATTTGAGACAATTCCGTAAGGTCTCCAGTAAAGTGCGGTTGACGACCTCCTTGTATTCCTCCTCTGAGCAATCAACAGAAACCACTTGTTGGATAACTGCAGTCAAGCAAAGTGTCGCGCTGTCATTAAGAGTCATCTCACCCAACTGGAAGAAAAATTAGAGGCAAATAGTGGTCATCCACATTGTTGTAGACCAGGTGGTACAGTCTGACCAATATAGGAATAAGGCTAACTGGGGGTGGGGGTGTTGCTGATGTTCCTGGCTTCAATGATTTGAATGGAGGAGAGTTTGACTGCAAACACAACAGCTCAATGTTATTGATAAGTACAGCCAACTGTTAAATCTCAGCTCCGTCTGCTGATCAGGTCAATCAGATTCCCCTGCTCTTCACTAGCTGGTTAAAACAAAGAAAAAGGTCATTTCTAAAATTAAAACTCTCAAACGTCTGGTGGTTTTGTGAATGTTGGAAGGATTTTAACAGTGACTTGATTGCTGAAAGAACTGTAACTTATACTGTTCATGACTACAGCAAATAGAAAATGTCACTGGAACATAAATCAAACATAATTTGACACCAAGTTACGTAAGGAATTATTAGATAGATGACCAAAGGTTTGGTCGGAAAGGCAGGGTTTAAAGAGGGAAAGGTGCAAGGAGCAAATTCCGTAGTTCCAGGCAGGCTGAAGGCACGGTCATTAATGGCACATTGATAAATCTGAGAGGCATAAGAGACTAGAGTTAGAGGAGCACAGATATCTCAGAGGGTAATGGGGGTGAAGGAGATTACACAGACAGAGGCAGGCAACACCGTGGAAAGTGAGAACTTTAATGCCACTGAGTTCTTTTTGTATTTTCCATATTGCAGAGAAATTCATTGCATAAATCTACCCACTGGATTTAAGAAGTTCCAGCTTCTTATTGCATGTAAGTGAAGGTATATTGGGAGGCTGTATACAAACCTGAATGGAATGGAAGCAGTTGTGCATGACTGCGGTCAGATACTCCATATCCAATTTTCCCATCTCTCGGATAGAGTTGGTCGCAAGTTGGAACGCAGACAGGCGCTCATCAAAATCAATGTCATCAAGATGTTGTCGATCAAAGGCATTTAACTGACAGAAGGAAAAGTAACTAGGTCAGAACTAGGAAGTGTGAAAAAAGAAAAGTAAGCTTTCTGCCATCTGGTGAAAAAAAGTCTGGGGTAAACCTCACCTTACCTTAGTGACAGTTTCGGTAATGTATGCTAGTGTGCTGTCCAGATCGGCCAAGGTCTTTGTTTAACATAAAGAAATGGCAAATAAACAAATAAAACAAAATACAATAGAGTTAATAACTTTTCATTTAATAAGGCAGTTTCTCATTGCAAAATGAGGTTCAGTATAATCTGAAATGTCGTGGAACAGGAATAGGCCATTCAGCCTTTTAAGGTCATTCTGCCATTTAATTATATCATAGCCCGTCTGCGTCCTTGATCCCTCTCAATCCCTTAACCCTTAAAACCCTCACTCAGCGAATATATATCAATCTTAGGCTTGAAATTGTCCATTTTTATCTCCAACCTCGACAGCATTTTTTTTGAGACGTGGTGGGGAAGAGGGGTGTGGCGTCCCTCAGATTTCCAAACCCCTTATTAAATGAGGAAGTGCCCCCCCCACATTATTCCTGGGTCTAATCCTGCAGATAAGCAGGTCAAAAATCCTCAGGCCTGAAGCCGATACTGCATTTTCTCTCCCCGAAATAGAACACTCTCACTAAAAACAAGACTTAACAAAAGAAGATTAGAAATACCAATGAAAAACTGCAGGAACAACACTGTAAACACCTCTCAAACATCTGCAATGAACAAACGTGGCAAATCTATGTTAAACTCTCTTTCATCTTGGAACTTAAGATATTAAATCCATCAGGACCAGTTATATAAATACAGAGGCTACAAGTGCAGGCCAGAGGCTAAGAATCTTGGAACAAGTAACTCACCTCGTGACTCCCCAAAGCCTGTCCACCATCTACAATGCACATGCCAAGAGGCAGTTCAGAGGATTACTAGATTGATGCCTGGACTAAGAGGAAAGTCTGGACAGGCTGAGCTTGTTTTCTCTGGAGTTTAGAAGAGCAAGGGGTGTTTTGATTGAAGTTTATACAATCCTGAATGGTCTTGACAAGGTGAATGTGGAATGGATGTTTCCTCTTGTGGATGAGCAGAATTAAAATGAGGGGTCATCCTTTTAGGAGACAGATTATGGGAATTTTGTTCTATGAGGAAACAGGCAGCGATGCATGGGGACACCACCTGCATGCCCCCCTACAAGCCACACACTATCCTGACTTGCAACTACTTGTCAGAGAAAGGAAAGAGTGGACGATGTTTTGAACAGAAATAATGTACAAGGTTACAGAAAAAAAGCAGGAGCTTAGCCTGAGTTAATGATGCTCCCTTTGAAGAGGCAGTGCAGACACTTTGGGCCAAATGGCATCCTTCTGCACTGTAACATTTCTGTGGTTCTGCGAACAAGCAACATCAACACCAAAGTCAAGTAGTTTCCCTTCACAGTTAGTGAGCCTGAACAAAGCAGAGCTGGAAACCTGGCACTCACCTATCACACTCCCGAGTCAGATCAGAAACACAGACTGCAACATCGCAGCTCCCGGGACTCTGCAGACAACAACTGCTGTGGGACTCCATTGCAAAGGGAAGCTGGCAATTGTCTGGTCTCAATAATATCAGGGTCTCAGTTTCAAACTTTTATATTCCTCCTTCCAGAAATAAATAACACACCAAGCAGGGAATGAGTGGTTCGAGAGCATCCATGGAGAGAAAGCAGAGTCTATGGCTCGGGTCCAGGACAGATGCTGTCAGACCTGCTGAATTTCTCCAGATAATTCTGTTTTTGCTTCAGATTTCCAGCATCTGCAGTTGTTTTCTGCTTCGCAGATTGAGTAGTGACTCTTTAACCTGTTCGCTCTTGATTACTTATCATAACAACATCCAAGATAATCCATGTCAATTTTTGCATTAGTCCAAATTACATGACCACAGTTTCACAAGTGGGTGAACTGTTATCACTGAGCGATCAAATAGGATTGACAAGTTGAAAGCAGCTGCACAGGCTAGACCCAACATTGGCTCAGAGCTCTGCCCATGGATTTCCTCCCCTTGTTAATGTTATTACCTTGATTGGAATCAGCATTGTTTACTCTGACTGGGCAGGGGAGGACGACAGAGAATGCAATACACAATGCTGCCTGACAAAATCATCCTCAGTACTGATCACAACAAATGCTGGAGATCGCAGCGGATCACATAGCATCCATGGCGAGAGAGCAAGCTAATGTTTCGAGTCTAGATGACTCTTCAACAGAACTGAAGTGTGGAGGGGACAGCATTTGTGCTATAATTGTGGTGGGGGGGGTGGTGTTGTGGGGGTAGTGGGTGTAGCGTGCTGATGGAGAAGAGATGTTGAAAGTTCAGATTAAGTGATCGGAATGGGAGAACGGCTGAACAACGGTGTCTCCTGCCAGACCCGAAAGGACAGTAACTGGGATAACGGGAGGGGAGGACGTGATCACAGGCTAAACAAAAGGGAAGAAACGGTTCATAATTTGAAGGTATTAACTCAATATTGAGTCCAGAAGGCTGTAAAGTGCCTTGTATGAAGATGAGATGTTGTTCCTCCAGTGCGCGCTGTGATTCACTGGAACACTGCAGCATGCCAAGGACAGGTTTGCGGGTGTGCGAGCAGGATGCTGTGTAGAAATGACCGGCTATGGGAAGGTCAGGGTCTTGCTTGCGGAGGTGTTCCGCAAAGCGGTCACCCTGTCTGTGTTTGGTTTCTCCCATGTAGAGTAGGCCACATTGAGTGCAGCCAATACAATACACAAGACTGGAGGAGGTACAGGTGGGATGCTGCTTTACCTGGAAAGGCTGTTTAGGCCCATGGATGGCGAGCATGGGAAGTGGTGAACAGCCGGGTGTGGCACCTTCTGCGGTTACACGGGAAGGTGCTGTGGAGAGCGGGAGGTGGTGCTGGTGGTTGTAGAATGAATTAGGGTGTCCAGAGGGAACAATCCCTGCAAAATACAGACAGGGGGAGTGAGGGAACCATGTGGTTGGTGGCAGCGTTCTGCTGGAGTTGTCTGCAATGGCGGACAATGATCCTTTGAATGCAGATGGCGACAATGGCTTGATGTTTGGAATGTGGGGTCATGGTCCAGGGGGTGGTAGGAAGAAGTATCAGAGAGTTGGTTTTGAACTTCCGCAAGGAAAAGATCAGTGTGCCAGACTACAACAGCAGCATCTTTGTCAGCCGGTTTGATAACAAAGTTAGGGTTGGATCTAAGAGAGCAAAGGGCGGCAATTTCAGAAGGGGACAGGTTATAGTAAGTGAGAGGAGCATAAAATTTGAGATGGCTGAAGTCACATCACCAGTTTTCAATAAAGAGATTGAGTGAAGGTAAGAGGTCAGGGGAAGGGATCCAAATGAAGGGTGAATACTTGACGTGAGTGAAGGAATCAATGGAATGAGGGGGGAGCCCAGTAATTACAATGACCAGGTAAGGATGACAGTTTCCTTCCCTAAAGGGCATGAGTGAACCAGGTGGGTTTTTCCGACAATTGACAATGGATTCACGGTCATCATTAGACTGTTAATTCCAGACATTTATTGAATTCAAATTCCACCATCTGCCATGGCAGGATTCGAACCAGGGTCCCCAGAACATTATCTGGGTCTCTGGATTAACAGTCCAGCGATAATACCACTAGGCCATCGCATCCCCCTAATAATTATTGGCCAACACACTAGGAACATCTACCTACTTTTCTTCAGAATAGTGACCATGGGGTCTTCTACATGCGCCCAAGTGGACAGGCTGGGTCTCACTTTAACACCTCATTTGAAAAGAGACATTTTTTCTAATTGTGCAGCCCTCTCTCAGCACTGCATGAGGAGAGTTTTGCTCAAGTCTCGAGAATGGTACTCAAACCCAGAGTCTTTGGGCTCAAGGAAGGCACTACCCACTGAGACACAACTGGTATCTAGGCAGTTCAGAATATAGACAAAGTTAGGAAAGTAAAGCAACACAAAATCAACTTTTCTAAAGGAATGGAAAAATAACTTTGAAAACAAGCACAATTTTCCACATACTTTAAGTAAATTAGTTGCTGTGTAACAGTACCTGGAAGACAGAGCAGAGAGTCTGCCGGGAGAGCCGATTCTGAATGACAGAGAAAAGGGCAGCCAGTGGCTTGATGAAAATGGCAGGCTCAGGGCAGTGCTGCAGGAGGTTCTGAATGGTTTCCAGGATGTCAATCTCCGTATCCTTCAGGAATTGCAGAAAATGATGAGACTCCATAGCTTTCATCTCCACGATAAAGTTTACGACATACAACAACTCACATTTCACCGTATCCCATACCCCTGATCAATCACTCTGAGCTGCTGATGGTTCTCAGCCAGAAATCACAATGTAAAACTTTACCACCAGTTGCTGGTCCAGAGTAAGAAATCAGAACCAATTACTTGCCAATGCAGCAGTACAGAAGCTTAACAGCTAACATTATTTAGTTGTCCAGGAGATCGGCCCTATTTATGAATAACTGGTTACAGAAATCCCATCCGTTCCAAATTAGTTACAATTCTCTCCACCAATTCAGAGAATCAAACACCGTCAGAGGCCGCTCAGCCCATTGAAAGAGCTATCACTGCCCTGCTTTTACCAACTGCTGTTGGAAATCTTACCTTAGAGTATTTATCAAACTCCCTTTTGAAAGTCATTGTTGAATCTTCTTCCACTGCCTTCTTAGGAAGTGCATTCCCGATCATCATAACTTACTGCCCAATTTATTTTTTCAGTACTCCTCTTTCCTCCAGCTCATTTGCCAATCACACTGAAGCTGTATTGCCTGACCGTACTGACATGTAGCCAAAATATAAAAGAATAAAGGGACTTGTCCCAAGTCTCTTGGAAGTGCTCAAACTCCTCCTAACCCTCAATCTTGCTCTTACACAGTCATTAAAGATCCTGAACAGAAAGGCGACTCTTGCTCACTCTCATAGTGTGCCCAGTTGTCTTCACCTCCCTTCCTAGTTAGGTTTTGACAGTCCACCACATCAAAAATGCTGCACCCTTATTCCCCAGTGATCCCTACATTAACATTCCAAAATGCCAGATGCCTGCACATGCACGTATATATATATATCCTGATAGAGAAATGCATTGTTAAAAAATCTTTTACCTGAGATGTGTTTGGCTTAAATAGATAGGGCATCAGGAGATTGATCAGAACACTGCTCTGTTCCTTATCCTGTACAAACCGACTTATTCTGGAAAGCAATTAACAGATAGAAATGATGTGGAAAAATTAACTTCATGAAGTTGTATATTTATCAAGGTTAATACAAATTCAGTTCTTGCACAAGCTTAAAAGAAGTCTAAGATTTCGGAAATAAAAGCAAAATGCTGCAGATGCTGGCAATGTGAAATAAAAACAGAAAAGTGCAGGTCCAACGGCATCTGTGAAGAGAAAAACAAAGTGAACATAGCATCTGTGAAATGAGATCTTTCAAAACAGAATCATAATCAACTCAAAACTCTCTCTTTCCACAGATGTTTCAATACCCTTGCCGTTTTTATCGAAGATTTCTGAATTCAACACAACATGCTGGAAGTAATTCCATAAAATGGAATACACAAACCATTTATTAAAATAATTTAGGAAAACTACCGAAGAATTGCTTTAGGGGCATCATAGCACAATATTGGGGTTAATTCTCCGGTACATCTGAAATCAATCAGTACCTTAAACGCAATGAAATAAAGTTGGAGATAGACAAAAGCAGCAATGCGCATGTGGAAGAAGTGCATAGACACACTGTCCTCGCCCTGGGGTGGAGACAGGAGCTTGTCTTCAGCGAGAGTCTCATGGCTAGAAGAGCTCCTCAATTTGATTCCTGATCTGTGTGAAGTTTGCTGACGTCTGAGGAGGACAAGTAGCCTTCAGCCTGTGACTGAAGAGGGGAACAGCCCATCTACAAGATGCGCTGCAAAAATTCACCAACATTGTTTTGACCACACCTTCTGAATCTGCTATCTTTACCACTGAGAAGGAGTAGGTAGCAGGTACATGGAAACACCACCAGCAGCAAGTTCCCCACCAAGTCATACATCATCCTGACTTGGAAATATATCACCGTTCCTTCAGTGTCATTAGGTTTGGGAACTTTCACTCTCACAGCATTGTGGATCTACTAATACCAAACAGACTGCAGCAGTTCAGGAAGGCAGTTCACCATCATTTTCTCAAAGGCAACTAAATGACGAGCAACAAACACTGGTCAGGTCCATGACTCTCCCCAGGAATGATGTTTTTTTAGGAAACGAAAGGGTAATATTTTGTAATATACAAAAGGATAAATGAGATAGAAAACTGTACCTTGAAAGGATGCTCAAATCTTTACTGACTTGTGTTTGGAATTTCTTCTTCTTCATTCGTTCCACGTTTCCAACTGCTTTGTTGAGATGTTGCAGGATAGTAGAAATATGAGGCAGAATAAGACATATCCCCATGCTCGCAGATTCTATGACAAATAATGGGAGGATGCTTTAGCAAATAGGTCTAACATGAAGGGAGACAGTGGGACACCCGATTATCAAGCAGTCTTCATCAGCAAATAAAAGTCACAGGTGACGATCGGGTGGGAGTAGGGATTCGTCCAAAGTTCAGCCACCTCTGTGTTGCTTGTGGGATCATGCTGTGCACAGATCTGCTGCTGCGTTTCCCAATATTACAACAGCGATCACTCTTCAGAAATATTTTGTTTCATCTAAATACTGCGGCATGTCCTCAGGTTGTGATGGGCACTACAGAAAGGGAGGCTTCATGACAACGCCATGTTCTCTCTCGGAACTTGCTCCTTTATCTTTAGTGTCTTTGTACAAACAGCAAGACCTCTTAGCCATCTCCTGCCCCAACTCCCAGTTATTAGACACACAACAGAGCAGAGTTGGATTGATTACAGGGGGGAAACATGTCTGGAGAGACTGCAACCCTGGGTTCCGATCAGAGAGCTGGAGGCAGGCTTCTTACCCTGTCCTTGCTAGGGATCGGGTGAGAATGCGGACTTTAGGGAGATCACCTGTGATCTGACTCACAATGGAACAGACTCCAAGAGCTGCCAGGCCCTAATAATAGTTCCTGTTTCTTGCAGTATGAACACTGCTGAATGGAATTCAATGAAACATTTAAACACAACCAGGTGATGTCAATTTCAATGGAATTCTAGAAAGTGCCCACATTAGATTTTCTTGCTAATTACAAACATACATATAAATATACAAATTAGAAGCAGGAATAGGTCACTTGACCTCTCGAACTTGTTCTGAAACTCGATTAGATCAGGGTTGATCTTAATTAATTCAAATTCCCGTCACCCGATAACTTTTTACTTCCTTATTTATTGAGAACCTATTCACCTCTGCCTTGAAAATATTAAGAGATTCTTTTTTCACTATCTTTTGAGGAAGGGAATTCATGACCCTCCACAAGATAAAAAAAAATTCTCATCTTTTGTCTTAAATGGGTGACCATCTGCTTTTAAACATTGACTCTTAATTGTTGATTCTCTCACAAGAGGAAACGGCCTTTACAAAGCATTAACAAAAAGCTAACTTAAGCATTACAATCAATCGACTGTAAATTAGTGGTTTCATACGATGATGCTTACCCTGAGCTATAATTTTCTAAATCCTACTTGCACTATGCTCTGGGTAAAAGCTTACTCAGAGGCGACACGACGGGAAACTTGATTTGGTCTCAGTCTGGTCAAGTGTTTGTTGGCCCAGAGGAACCAAACAACTGGGATCACGGTCAGCATGGACTGGTTGGACCGAAGGGATTTCATGCTGTATGACTCTATGACTGAAGGAAAACTTCAGTAGAAATCCAACCAGGTTTGTAAACCAGCACCTTGCTGTTTGAGAGCTAAAAGATTACCACCACCTGAATAGGATCTTAAGAGATCCAGATATAGGCACAGCCAAGATGACCAAACAGGCTGCTGGGGCCACTTGCTTTGGCTAGCTATCAGCACCAAAATGTTTACCAGCCGATGGTGGCCAAGTGTGGGAAATCCGGAGAGGTCAACCTGGGTCTGATGGACAGATCAGTAACTTATATCCTTTGCAATTGGGTCAGTCAAGTAAAGGCAATGTAGGCGTTAGGTTAAATCAGCCTCCATTGGCAATGATTCTGTGTAAAGGAAGTATAAGCAATTCCCTGGAAAGACAAAGGATTTAATTCCGTCCCCTTGGCCAGAGGAGGTTTGGACCCAGCCTGCACATGGATCCTGGAAGAGGGTCCCTTGTCTGTCCATCACACTGACACACACAGCAATACCTGGGGCATGGCCAGGGTGTAGTAGCCTGGAGATCGCATGCCTACTCAGGGTACAGTGATGTTATTATTGTTCAGATTTTGGCTGTTCACATGCTCCTTATACCAGATAAAGCACTACCACTCTTGGCAGTAAGGTTTATCATTTTTGAATCATTTCCGAAGATGGGAGTAAGGGATTTAAGGGTTAACAACATCCAAATTTAAGTGATGGGGGTGTTGGGTGAAGCTTCACGAGCCTTTGATGGTGTGTCTGATATCACAGAGTGGCCTAATTCAGACAGCATTTCAGAATCGACCATATTGGTGTGGAACTGGATGGGAAGCTTCCTTTCCAATAAAGGACATTGGTGAACTGGTTTGCGTTACATGACAATATGATAATTTCACAGCCACATTTACTGAAACCAGATTTCAATTTCTAGAGCTTTCTTCAAATTTTTAAATCAAACTCAAATGGTAGAACTTGAACCCTCGCTTTCTGGCTGATTAACCCAGTAATGCAAACCTCTCCCATTGGGACAACACAACAATGGGAGCTGCAGTACCTCCTGCAGTGCTGGAAGGTTCTGGAAAGGTTGTGTCATTGACAGTCAGGATGCTTGCTTGCGCTGTTGGTGAGAAGTCAGGCGTGCTCAGCAGGCTGTCAACAATATCCATGACAACTGTCGCCGAAGGTTCTGCGATGCTCTTAGACGACAGCAAGGCAAAGACGTTGCTCAGAATATCCAACTCTGGGTGATCGGGAAGCTGTTTTGCAAGGAGGGGGAAGTACCTGGAAAATATGCAAACAGCAAGACTGTAAAACTACACAGCGCAGTGCAGCCAGCACACCAGCAGGAGGAGCTGCCACCTCACTTGCACTAAAATTTAATATAACTTTCAAAGCAGTAGGAATCTGAGAACAGATGCACAGACAGGTCAGTAGAGTCAAAGCCACAACCAGCTCAGTCATGATCTTGTTGAATTGTACAGCAGGTTCGAAGACCCAAATGACCTAATGCTACTTTGAATTTCACTGTTCCTGTACGAATTCCTATTCTCTGAGGGCAGGCTTTGAAGTGACAGTTAGTTACCAACAATTATAGTCATTAGTTAGTTACTAAGCAGGAGAGGCCTCCACTGAAGATAGGTCATTAGCTGCTAATCAGGACCAATGCCCCAAAATAAACTCCAGATAAGCTGATTTTAAAATCAGACATTCCATTAACAATGGGAGTTAGCAGTTTCCACAAGTTCGGGATTTGTTTTGTTTTAGCAACAAGCAGGAATACCCCATGATGAAGAGCAATCACACAACACTGTCAAATAACCAGCAAGTAACTTGAACCACATTAATCCCTGGCAAATGTTGAGACATTTTACTATCACATCAAAACTCTTAAAGTTTGCTTACGGATGCAGAGGAGCCCAATGAAAAAAGTTCAGAAAACTTTTGAAGTTTTCCTCACCTGGAATTCTTGCTCCAGATATGAATCAGTTTCAGGAGGGGGGTCGGCGCGTACTGCCCTTCAGAGGCAAGTCTCCCGATCTGCAAACAGAACAAGGTCAAGGTAAAAACAGACACTCCACCAGGACAGCTGTGGAGGTGGTATGGTGGTAATGTCACTCAACTATTAATCCAGAGGCCCAGACTAATGCTATGGGGACACAGCACGGTGGAACTGAAGTTCAATTTGGATTATAAAGCTAGTACTGATTGACATAGAAACCCATCTGGTTCACTAATGTCCTTTAGGGAAGGAAATCTGCCATCACTACCTGGTCTGGCCTATATGTGACTTCAGACCCATGTAATTGCTCTCTGAAATGGCTGAGAGAGCCAACCTGTTCAAAGGTACTTAGGATGGGCAACAAATGCCAGCCTTGCCAGCAACACACACATCCTGTGACGGAATAAAGGCAAAAACAATTGGACAGTCAAAAGGTGACCTATCTCTTTGTAAAATACCAAACAAAACTCCAATGCCCTTTCAGGGTCACAGTGGCAAGTCACTGATGTGACCGGGTAGGATAAAAACAAACAGTAAGGGAGAGACCGTTACCTGTGGCCACACTACACCATGAAACAATGCATCAATCTCATCTGCTGTGAAAGCGTAAGACTCAAAGTCGGAAAAGAAAGCAGCAATCTGATTTATTCCCAGACGTCTCAAATATTTCAGCTGGTTTATGCACCATGGTTGAATCTGAAAACAAGACAGGGCAAACAAAAACAATGTAAATTCTTAACTGTAACACTTGCTAGTTCTGAGCAATATTCCGCATCACAAACAAATCTTTTGTTCCTGAAGAGATGCCAAAGGAAAATGAGAGAAGGACTTGCATTTATGTACTGCCTTTCACAATGCTCTAAGTGTTTTAAAGTACCTTTAAAGCATCATCATGGTTGATATTAGGAAATGTGGTAGCCAACTTCTACACAGTGAGCTTCCACTAACAGCTGCATGATAATGTCAGGGAACCTGTTTTGCGATGCTGATTGAGGGGATAAGTATTGGCCAGGATACCTGAGTACCTCCAGGGATCTTCTTCAAAATGGTGCCATGTGATTTTTCCCTGGCTGCAAAGTCAGATGAGGTCCTGTTTTGACAATGCAGCACTTTCTCAGTACTGCCCTGGGCACCTTCAATTTCTGCCCTCAAGGCTCCGAGCCAACAAACCTCTGGGTCAGAGGCAAGGACACTACCCTCTGAGCCACAGCAGACCAACGCTCCTATCCTGCCACAGGAAATTGTCAGGTCAATCAAATCTAGGTAAATTTATGAAAGGGACGAGGGCGCCGAGCAGGAGGAACAACAGCGTTCAGTGTGAACAGAAGGGCATCCAATAAAAAAGCTTTGAAAAGCTGGAACATAGAAATACAGACAAAGGCAAAGGCAGACTGTTAAACAAGGGGCAGAATGTACTAACCTTATGGAAGCTTTTGCATCACTTGAGACAGTGTAACATAAGCCAATTATTGTTTTTAAGAGATAGTAGGAACTGCAGATGCTGGAGAATGAGATAACAAGGTGTGGAGCTGGATGAACACAGCAGGCCAAGCACATCAGAGGAGCAGGAAGGCTGACGTCTCGGGCTAGACCTTTCTTCAGAAAAATGGTGCCATGTGATTTTTCCCTGGCTGCAAAGTCAGACGAGGTACTGTTTTGACAATGCAGCACTTTCTCAGTACTGCCCTGGGCACCTTCAATTTCTGCCCTCAAGGCTCCAAGCCAACAAACCTCTGAAGAAGGGTCTAGGCCTGAAACGTCAGCCTTCCTGCTCCTCTGATGCTGCTTGGCCTGCTGTGTTCATCCAGCTCTACACCTTATTGTTTTTAAGAGATGTGAACTGTGTCAATTCCAACAAAAAAAATCAGGGGAGAAAACAGTATTTACCTTGCACATCCCAGGATGTCCCAAAGCCCTTAATAACCAATAAAGTACTTTTAAGTGTAGTTGCTGTTCTAATATAGGAGGCGTAGTGGCCAATTTGTGCATAGCAAGCTCCCACAAATGTGAGAATGACCAGATCATCCATTTTTAGTGATGTTGGTTTGGGCATAATAGGGACAGTAATCCAGAGATCCAAGTCAATGTTTTGGGAATGCTGGTTCAAATCCTACCATGGCAGCTGGTGAAATTTAAACTCAATTGAGTAAGCTGGAAGATGTTCATCAAATCCCCTCCAACCCCCTGTCAAAATATTCATTCTGTTAAAGACAGGGGACAGGTCAGAAATGCAGGATTCCTGGAATTCTACTTTGCTACAAATGCAGGACTTTTCAAAGTAATTTTCACTGTGGGTCTCATGCAAAGAATTAGAGCAAACAGGAATCAAGGTCTATAGGGAGAAGGTAGGAAAGTTGACAATTATCAGATTGGACAGGATCTCTACGAATGGCAGACTGGACTAGATGGGCTGAATGGCCTACATCTGCTCCTACGTCTTATGGTTTCGACAATTGGCATGTAGCGTAACATTTTAGACATCATCTTCCTTATCAGATGCTTGCACCTGCTCTTCTTTATGCTGCTTAGCAACTGGCTAAATAGTTCAGCGCTTCCCAAACTATTTTTCCATTGAGCTCCCATTTCCAAGCTTGAAAACTGTCATGACCCCTCAGTGAGAACTGAGAGAGCAGGGGCTGGCTGGGTGGGTATGTGACAGGATCTGTGACAGCGTAGAAAATGGCAGACAGGGAGGCAGGAGCTCGACAGCCCCTGCCGAGTCAGAGCTGGTAACCCCATTTAGGGCATTCGCCCTCTACTTTGAAAAGCCATGGACTACTCAGGTAGTGACCGCTGTCACTCTGGCTGTCTCCAAAACAGTCAGCCAGTGGGAATGGATTCAGACGAGAGAACAACAAAACCTGCATCAGATTCTGGAAGACAAGACCATGAGAAATATGAATGACAGGAGGCCCCTCAAGCCTGTCCTACCATTCAACAAGAGCTGGCCCAGGTTTTAACTCCTCTTTTGGAACAGCTCCTCAAAACTCTCAACTTCTTGATATTACAAAGATCTATCCGCCTCACCTTTAAATGCTTTCAGTGATCTAACTTCTACACCTCTCCAGATTGAGAATTTCAGACATTCACAACCCTTTGGGAGAAGAAATTCCTTCACATCTCGGTGCCCCCTGACTCTGTAACTATGTCCTCTAGTTCAAGATTCCCCAACTAGTGGAGACATCTTTTCAACATCTGCCCTGCCAATGACAATTTACTTCCTCACCATCCTGACTTGGAAATATGTCTCCGTTCCTTCATCATTGTTGGGTCAAAATCCTGGAATTCCCTCCCTCAGGACATTGTGCGTCTAACTACTGCACAGGGACTGTAGCAGTTCAAGGTGGCAACTCGGCACCACCTTAAGGGCAATTAGGGACAGGCAATAAATGTCGATCCAGGCAGCAATACCCGTACCCTATAAATAAATGAATTAAGAAAAAAAAAAGCCGACAATCTTGAATGTTTCAACAAGACAATGTCCCACACACCTCCACCTTCATCCCTGGATATGCCCTGTTCTACTGGCAGGAGATACCCAGCAGAGGTGGTGGCACAGTGGTATACAGTCGGGAGAGAGTTGCCCTGCGAGTCCTCCACATTGACTCCGGACCCCACGAAGTCTCGTGGCTTCAGGTTAAAGACAGGCAAGGAAACCTCCTGCTGGTTACCATGCACCGTCCTCTCCCAGTTGATGAATCAGTACTCCCTCAATGTTGAACAGCACTTGGAGGAAGTACTGAAGGCAGCAAGGACACAAAATGTGCTCTGGCTGGGGGATTTCAATTTCCACCACCAAGAGTGGCTCGGCAGTAGTACTACTGATCGAGCTGGTTGGGTCCTAAAGGACGTAGCTGCTAGACTGGGTCTGTGGCAGGTGGCGACGGAACCAAGAAGAGGGAAAAACATACTTGACCTCATCCTCACCAATCTACCAGCTGCAGATGCATCTGTCCACGACAATATCACTAAGAGTGACAACTGTACAGCTCTTGTGGAGACAAAATCCCACCTTCACATTGAGAATACGCTCCATCATGTTGTGTGGTATGATCACCGTACTAAATGGGACAGACTTCAAGTTACCTATTCCGGCTATCAATTTATTCCCTCAACCACTCCCCCCACCCCCCAACTCCATAATCCTCACAAAGGTCCTCCTTCTCAGCATTTGCCTAGTTGTTGGCTGTTGCATACACCTGCGATGCTAATCCTGAGCTTCAGTTTCATGCCAAGGGACCAGAGGCCATGTTCAGCCAGATATAGCAAGAACTGCAGAACTGCTGGAGTCAGAGACAACACAGTGTGGAGCTGGAGGAACACGGCAGGTCAGCAGCATCAGAGAAGGGAAGTTGACATTTCAGGTCGGAACCCTGCTTCAGAAATGGGGAAGGGAAAGGGAACTGGGAAATAAATAGAGAGCAGGGGTGCATCAACTTTCCTTCTCCTCTGATGCTGCCTGACCTGCTGTGTTACTCCAGCTCCACACTGTGCTGTCTATGTTCACTGAGTACCTGATTCAAATTAGACAAGAACATCATGACACAAATCTGAAAGCACTAAATACACCAGAAGAAATTTCAATCTCATCAGTCTACTGTGGCTAAATAAGCCAATGTGGCAATTAGCAGAATGTGAGGGAGGGATTATTTCAAAGGGAAACTAATCTTTTTTGGAGACATTTGTCTCAATATTTGGTGACACTGCAAAGGAAATTTCCTTTATCACCTTCCCCAGCTTCAGGACATCCGAGAGTGCTTAACAGCCAATGAAATATAGTGTGGTCACTGTTGTAATGTAGGAAACATGGCAAATTATACACAGCAAGATCCTACAAACAGTAAGGTGACAATTAACTGCCTGTTAAAATAACAACAACAGCTGTGATTTTGGTTGAATGATAAATATTATCCCAAAGACAAGGGAAACCTTCCCTTTTCTTTTTGAATATCGTGCAGAGGTTGTAGACGTGTTTAATGTCTCATCAGAGAATTAGTACCATCTGACAGTGCAGCACTCCATCTGTGATGTACAGTGGCATGAAGCCACCAGCTTCTGACTCAGTCTAAGAGTGCATGTGCATTCACCTCTCAGTCATGGCCGAGACCTGAACACTGCATTCCATGTGCCTACCTGGTCTCTTTGTTGAAGAATATGAGACACTGACGCACATGTGCACAAGGTGATCTGGAGCAGTTTCGGCAGATAGTCTTGGATTAGATGGCCCAGTTTTTTCATCACCACATCAACGCCATTCAGCAGACCATGCTGACGTCCTAGAGGTAAAACCTTTGACAAATCCAAAGTCTTTACTGACTGTAACACTGCAGACAGACAGGATCCTGAAACAAGAAAGATAAAATGCTTACTCATGCAGACAAAACTAACTCCAGACTCAAGATACCACATCACATTTTCTCCTGGGGTCACGCAACAGTGTTTTTAAGAAAATAAGAACAACTTGTAATCAACCTGAAACATCTATCAGGTTTGTCTCCAAAGACCTGCCTGAGATTTTCCAGCATTTTCTCCTAATTTGAGATTTCCAGCATCTTGCTTTTATTTTCACATTTTTAGATTGTCCTATTTTGCAAACACAGCAGAACCTACGACAATGATAAAGCTCTTTGAGCCTGCAGTTACACTTTACAAATTAAACCGTCCAGGGAGAGTGCACTACACAACACAAGCCTAAGGCAAGTTATAGCTTTAATGCTACTTTCATATCGCTCATATTCAATATTAAGAACATTCAACTTGAAATCTAAAGGTCATGAGTTCCAATTCCATCAGGGCAACTAAATTTAATCAAATTGGCACTTTGTTGCTGGAGCCAGATTTAATGACAAAGGCTTTCAGGTCCATTCAAAACCTTCTTGGCTCACCTACATCAGACAGGAAAGGGAGCCTGGTACCTTTGCCCCGTCTGGCTTTGTTTGCTCCAGTTCCACACCATGTGGAAGGGAAAAAGTGAAGAAATACCGCCGTCTGTGTGGCACCCACAACCCAACATCAAATTTCAAACAAAAAGTGGAGGGAGAGCAGGACAGCGAGTTTAGAACCAGATTGACACAGGGCTAATGGGAGAGGGTAGTGCACCAGTTTGTGATTGTGTAAAGACCGTACCTTTTCATTTTCATTGTGGACTGAAATGGGGAAAAAGACCGTTTTAAAAACACAGGTTATGAGCACTTACTCTAACCGCTGACAAAAGTGGGATTCGTCCAGCAATAAGTAGCTATTGGTCTGTGAAGTGACATTCTCAATGACAAAGGCTTTCTGCCTGACAACAACCATGTGATTGGTTCCCAGAAAGCTAAATGGTTTGTGATTGAGAATGAAGCTGCCAGAAGTCTTTGGACCACTGCAAAGGGAGGTGGTGTCCTTTCCTCTGCAGTTTAAAAAAAAAACAAAAGTTTGAAGCAATTTTCCCTCACCAGTTGCTTTAAGCAGTAGCTTTTAACCAATAAATCAGAGATGTTCGGTGCCTTGCACAAAGATGTGGCAAACACTTGAAAAGAGAGAGACAGAGAGAGAGAGAGAGAGAGAGAGAGAAAAAGAGGTACTCAGAATAGTTTGATATATGGTTTTGGGTTAAGAGCAGGACAGTGGGATTGGTTTGGGATTGATGGGGAGAAGGGGGAAGTAGGATTGTCATCAGTAGAGATAAGTTGCCACTAGCTATTTGTCCGATGGAATGTTACCTTTAAAGCTTCAGTCCACAGCTAATAACAGTACGAACTTTACAGCAGATCACTTGATAATGATCAGTGTAATTACCTTACATTATCACGAGTTTGATACATGGGAAAGAGAAAACAAAAGACAAGATGATGACATATATCAACCTTTACGGTTTTTAATTGGGAACATTAAATCTGTTATGCAAAACCCATGATTGAAATAATTAACTTAAAACACAAGTACACTACATTCCTTTTTCACGACAGGAATGAAAACAGAAGATTTCCTTGTATACTTGACAAGGGGAGCCACATGACTAAAGGAAAGTACTGAGGCTGCTGGAACTCACTAATACAAACTGAAGATGCTGGAAGCATTCAGCAGGTCACACTGCGACGAGAGAGAGAGACTGGTAACCTTTCAGGCTAAAGATGCTCCGTCAGAGCTGGAGAAAGTTATGCGATGACAGCTGTCCCTAAGCAAGTACAGAGACAAGGAAAGGGAACAGCAGAAAAAATAAGAGATGCAGAATCCCCTCCAATGCTTACCCTGAGTTAAACGCTTTACTGGCTCAAGGAGAAGATCCAGAAAGAGGTGTATCTCCTGAGGTAATGAGCCGGCCAGGAAATTTAAAACGATGACCATGCGGGTCCCTGCTGCTGCTCGGCCTTGGGTTTTGCTCCCTGTTTTGCTCCTCATGCGTCCATAAAGAATCCTTTAAAACAAAGAGAGCGGGAATTTTAAAAAGAAGAATTTAAACTTACTTTTGGAGTTTTGAAGACAGCAACAGCTTTTAATCAGGAAATAGCAACTAATCGAAAGCTCAACACTAATCAGTTCATTCACCTGAGAGTACCATACAGACCCCACAAGATGACAATATCCAAACCTCCTGAAAAATCTGTGTCTCTGCTACACTAACAAAGTCACCAACTTCCTGCTCAGTGATAACTATCCAGTTCTGTTCCCAGTCTCCACTCATCTACATCTGAAACGTTTATCTTTTGTTGCAAATAAACCAGGTGGTTCCAAAGTTCCCAGATCATCCTCCCACAACCTTTCTTTTGTAAAGCCACACTCATCCAAACATCTGCTGCCCAAATCCTAACTTGCACTAAGTCCCTTATAAGCACAGGAAGTGGTGGATGCAGGTGCAGTTACAACATTTAAAAGCCACTTGGACAGGTACATGGCTGGAAAAGGTTTAAGAGGGGTATGGGACAAACACAGGCAAATGGGACTAGTCTAGTTTGGGAAACCTGGCCGGCATGGACGCGTTGGGCTGAAGAGTCTGTTTCCATGCTATATGATTCTATGACACTGCCCCCTCACCCAGTGTGCTCATTAACATACTTCAGTTGCCTGGTCAGCTGGTTTGCAATGCAGAGGGACACCAATAGTGTGGGCCCACCTCCCACACTGGGAGAGGTTACTATGAAGATTGTCTTTCTCGCCCTCTCTCCAAGCCTGAAATGTGGTGACCCTCAGGTTAAACCACCATCAGTTGTCTCTCTCCAATGAGAAAGCAGGCCAATGGTCTGGTAGGACTATGGAAATATTACTCTGGTGTAGTACTGAGGGAATGCTGCACTGTCAGAGATGCCATTTACTTGGATAAGACACCAAATCAAAGTCTCATAGACAGATCTAAAGGATTTCATGGTACTATTCTCAAGTAGAGAGATTGTCCTACCAATATTTAATTAGTCAACAATATAAATTATCAAGCCATTATCACATGGTTGTTTGTGGGAGCTTCTTGTGCGTAAACTGGTTACTACATTTCTGTGATTACAGCCATGACTGTACTTCAAAAATTAATTAGTTGGCAGTAAAGCAATATGAGTTGCTTGGTGGTCCGAAAAGCAGTACATAAATGAAGGCTGTCTTTTTACATTGAGATGTTGGTAGAACAGGAGCCAATTTTAAAATTCTCATCCTTATTCTCATATCATTTCATGACACCATCCCCTTCCCCATCTTTCACATCTCTGCCAGCCCTCCCCTACTCCCATCAGAGATCTCTGCACTATTCAGTCTGGCCTCTTGCACGTTCAGATTTTAATCACTGTACTGTTGACAATCAGCATTCAGCTGCCTGTGCTTAAGTTCTGGAATTCCCTCCCTAAATCTCTCTACCTCTTTGAGGACACGTCTTAAAACAAACTCTTTGACCAAGCTTTAGTCATTTGTCCTAACGTTCAGTCCTTAGGCTCGATTGCCATTTTTTGTCTGGCTACTCAATGGAAGCATTACCAAAACATTTTAACTACTTTGCAAGCTAAGTGCAAGTTCTGATTCCAGTTACTGAACACTGTATGCGTGTATGTATGTGTATATGCTTGTTTCTGCATGTATACACAAGCATGTGACAAACAACCTGACATCTATGCAAAGTTAACGCATTACACATTGAGTCCCAGACACCCTGATGTTCAGGATCAACTTCATCGTTCTTCGCTGGTAGGTCTCTGGCACTGGAAATGGATTCTCAACTTTTGAAGTCCAAAATGAATACGGCACTAAATTTATGGTCACTATTTAGTAAAGACTGGGTGAATTAAGTGATACACTGCAAACAGTGAGTCAAAAACATGGAAATCAAGGATACTTAAATATGTTGAGAAATAAGAATTTAGATCTCCCAATTAAAGTTACAGGGACAAAGATTATTAAACTTAGACAATGCAACACAAGCTTCGAGCGTTTGTCCTACATAATAATCTTGAATCATAAAATAAGACAGAACAGAACAAGGCCATTTAACTCTGGAGGAGCTATGGAATTAAATCTAAACCCCTGTTTTTACTCTACAACCTTGTGAACTCCTTGGATGAAGTGGTTGGAGGTACATCTAGCACAAAGGATGATGGTTGTGGTCGTCGGAGATCAGTCATCTCAGCTCCATGACATCTCTGCAGGACTTCATCAGGGTAGTGCCCCAGGCCAACTATTTTCAGCTGCTCCATCAGTCGAGATATTCACCAATGATTGCTCAATGCTCAGCTCCATTCATGACTCCTCATATACTGAAGCAGTCTATGTCCAAATGCAACAAGATTTGGACAATATCCAGGCTTGGGTTAACAAGTGGCAAGTAACATTCGGGCAGGCTATGACCATCTCCAGTAAGAGACTATCCAACCATTGCCCCTTGACATTAAATGATATTACCATCATTGAAACCCCCCACTACCATTTTCCTGGGGATTATCACTGACCAGAAACTCAGCTGGTCTTGCCATATAATACAATGACGACTAGAGCAGGTCAGAGGTTAGGAACACTGCAGCAAGAACTCACCTCCACTCCCCAAAAACCTGTCCACCACCTGCAAGGCACAAGTCAGTAGTGTGATGGAACATTCCCCACTTGCCTGGATGGGTGCAGCTCTAACACTCCAGAAGCTTGATACCATTCAGGACAAAGCAGCTCGCTTGATTGGCACCACATCCACTCCCTCTACCAACAATGCTCAGCAGAAGGAGTGTGCACTATTTATAGGTTGCACTGCAGAAATTCACCAAAGATCCTTAGACAGCAGCTTCCAAATCCAAGACCAATTCCATCTAGAAGGACAAGTGCAGCAGATACATGGGAACACCACCACTTGCAAGTTCCGCTCCAAACCACTCACCATCCTGACTTGGAAATATATTGCTATTCCTTCGCTGTCGCTGGGTCAAAACCTTGGAAATCCCACTCCCAACAAATGCACGGTAGGTCTACCTACAGAACATTGACTGTAGCGGTTCAAGAAGGCAGCTCATCACCATATCCTCAAGGGCAACTCGGGACAGGCAATAAATGCTGGGCCGTCCAGTGATGCCTATGTCCCACAAATGAATGAAAACCAATGTCACTATGAAAGCTATCACTGTGTATAAAACTAAAATATTAAACTAAATGTTAACCTCACTGTAGAAGAACAGGTGTCCATTGCAGGTACTGACAGAGGCATTAAACCAGCGAAAAGTATAATCTCAAATAAGAATTAAATAACAAAGACAATTTTTTAAAAGCCATTGGAAATGGCTGAGGGGTAACCTAACAGAGGTTATTAAAATTATGAAGAGTTTCAAATAAGGTACAGATGTTTCCACGTTTCCATTTGTGAAGAGGTGACGGTATGGAGTCTAAGACTACAGATCATAAATATTAGACAGTTACTGAAAAAGCCAATAGTGCATTCGAAAGAATAATTGGTTAGAATGTGGAGCTTGCTAGCACAACAATTAGTTACGATGAATAGAACAGATCCATTTAAAGGAGAAGATGGATAAACACATGGGGGAGGAAGGAAGGAACAGAAGATATGTTGATGGGATGGGATGGCATTTACACAGAGCACCAACTGCAGCATGGACTAGCTTGGCTGAACGAGTACCCAGCATACGCACAGAGAAATGTTAAGCCACACAGTTGAGCAGGCTGTCAACAAGTTCCCTATAGGAATGGGAACGCTCAGGAATCTGTTTCCCCACTCGTAGTCCAGTGGTCTGAACCCCAGCCCAGTTAACTTGGCTTAGAGAGGTCAAGCTTGGCAACCTCCGACAGCCCACAACATCCATTTCCCTCCCTCTCCTTCAGCCAGTTTTACGCCTGACACTTATTCTGTGCAGTACAGTTTGTGTTAATTTACAGAAATTGCAAGCCCTGCTACTCCTACCTCATGATAATTGGGATGAGCTCAGGTCTGTGTGCAGCTGACACAATGGTTATTTCCTCTGCAATACTGAAGTGAATGACTTCTTCTTTGAAACTCTTGTCCTCCAGCAGTCGCTGGAGATTTTCCCTGCAACAAGAAACTAAGATTCAGTTTTTTTTGCAGATGCGCAAACGCCAATGAAAACACAAGAGGTGTTTCTCCATTGATTTCAGAAATTGGATTACAAACTTTATGCAAAATGCACAGTCAAAATCATCCACATTGCAGCAAGCAGATTAAATATTATTCTGTTGTCAGGTCCAGGAAACCTGGCTTAGACGAGGTGCTCATCTGAATATTTGGCCAATGAGAGTAGACCTGTCAACCAATCAGTATCCTTTTCACCTGGAGAATAAAGTGTGATCGGATAAAACTTGGCATTCCTGCAATTGTCCTCATGAGCGCAAGATAAAAAGCTTTGACAAAATTTCTTGCTTTTCACTAATACTTAAGGTGCTAATTTTTCCAGCTATGTCAATTCAAAAACGTTTTCACTTCACTGAACTCATTTGAATAATTGTTCAGGTACATAGGAGAGCTTGGGGGAACCACGAACCCTACTTCTCAAGTTCTCTTAACATCTGGAGAAGCAATTTTAGACATAGTAGAATTCCCTACTGACATTCTCAGTTGTTTAAACCTCTGAATCTTGTGC